TATGGAATATTTTAATAATTATCAATTTATATCAGTGTTTCTGAATCCTAATTATTACTTTAGCCACCACCACATATGATGAATGGCCCTATGGGTGCAGGACCAGGTCCATATGGACCACCACCTGGAATGGGACCACCTAACATGAACAGCGTAAGTTATCTATAAAGAAAAATTTATTTTTTAACAACTCTTGTATTGCCAATATTGTTCTATACTTGTTTTTAATAATGTAACTTGTAGATAGCGTATACTTTCATTTACATGCTTGTTGTTTTTGAAAAAATGGATTATAAAAAACACATGAGAATACTTTCCTAAATGAAATGTATGCCGTAGATTCCAGGACAACAGCAGCCACCCCAACAAGCACAACAGCAAGCAAACATTCCAGGTCTAGATCTCAATGGAGAAGTGTGGGTAGAGACGAAAGCGGCTGATGGCAAGTCGTATTATTACAATATTCGTACGAGAGATACCACATGGACTAAACCAGAGGGACCAAATGTAAAGGTCATGGTACAAGATCAGGTAAATAAATGCGAGTTTTGATTTGTATATTTTTTAAAATTATTTACTTGCAAATCTTATTATTTTATTTATCTCGATTGTGATTATAAATCTGGGTTGTACATTTTTATTATGTTTTGTATTTTTTTCTTCTTTTGCCATTAGTTTTATTGGTATATTTTATTTATTGATATGTATTTTTACGCGGGTAAAATACAGGCAAGGGAACAAAGTATAAATAAAAGAACCCCCCATATTTCAAAAAATTGACAATTAGCAATGTCATAACAAAGATCGGTAAGTTTACTAACTCGTCAGTAAAATTGAAATTTTATTTTGTTCGTTTAAATAAAATGTGAAACGATTCATTCTGAACAATTCTTAACAAAGTGTCTCATGATTTTGCAGTTGGAACAGTTAGTACATGGCGCGTCAAAACAAGCGGCAACACGTTCTACCACACCTACTCCATCAAGTAGTACACCGACCAAGATTAGTGAAAATAGAATTCCTCAAGGCGGTGAACAATCGTCTTCTAATAATACAGATGCTATTAATCAATTGAGTACGGCACCTCCTGGTACCGGACCACCACCTACATTAAATGATGCACCGGATGTTAATAACCAAACATCTGAAACAAATCAATCAAACGGTAATTTGATATATTTTGAAAATGTTTTTGAGCTTTATATATTTATTTTAACATTGAAGTTTTTTAAATTTACATTAAAATGTTGTCATTAAGAGATGAAATCTTGAAATATTAGGCACAGCACCCACAACAGTTACCAACACGCCACCGATAAATACACCGACAGTAAATACAAACATAATGCAACCGCCGCCAAATATGATCCCTATGCAGCATAGAATGCCAAATCAGTTTGGTAATCCGATCGCAACGCAATTCGGAGCAACGCCCTTCGGAATGCCACCGCCTGGTTTCCAACCTTTTGGCGGTTATGGGCCACCACAAACAAATTGGGGTATTGTAAAATACGTGAAATAAAAACAGTTTGATAAATGACAGAAAAAACAAAGAAATATTTTTATAATTCTTAAATAGATCGTAATAGAATACACCTACATTCTTTTTTAGGTATGCCACAAATGCCTCATGGTGTAATGACACCTCAAGCGCCTGCTGAAGATCCTGCTATACTAGCACAACTTGATTCTGAATTAGTAGCAGCTGCTATGGTCTGGACCGAGCATCGTGCACCAGACGGTAGATTTTATTACTACAACAGTAAAGCAGGAGAATCAGTATGGGAAAAACCACAAGCCTTGAAAGATCTAGAAAGTATGTAATAAATAATTTCTTTACAACAATTATCTCCATAAAGCAAAATAACTAACGTAGATATTAAAATTTTTTTTAATATAATAATTTTATAGTTAATATCTTAAATCCAATAATGTATTTTAAAATTTCATTCTGTTAGATGCGAAATTAACATTACGGCAGAAAAATGAAGAAGCAAGTGCTGTTTCTACCACCAATACCACCGTTACAACTACTGTTGTTACCAACAATAGTACTACTACGGTTGAACCTAGCAAACAAGACAAGCCGCCAGAGAATGTTCAAGAAACCAAAGATAGTACAAAAGATGTTGATAACGCTAAACCGAAGAAAGAGGAAAATACTGCAAAGGAACCTGCAAAACCTCAAGACAAGTCTAGACCAATTTCCAGTACGCCAGTGCCTGGAACTCCATGGTATACTTAGAAATATTAATTTGTTTTATATTACTATTCGTATTGTATGTATATTTATATGAATATATTCGTTTGTAAAGGTGCGTCGTTTGGACGGGAGATGGACGGGTATTTTTCTACAATCCTTCTTCGAGGATATCAGTTTGGGAAAGGCCGGATGATCTTGTTGGCCGTCAAGATGTGGACAAGATGATTTCAACGCCACCAGATGCGATTGGTGCTACAAAACCAGCACGTCAATCGGATACTAGTGAGAGTAGCGATGATGATCAGCCCACACCAGCCAAAAAGATGAAACACGAAGATACCAAAAGTAATTGTTACTCTAAAATTAAGTACTGCACGATTGCATTCTTTTTTTTTTCTTTTTTAAAAATAAATAATTTTGGTATTTTTTCCTTCAGCCACACCCATTAAGGAAGAAGAAGAAAAGGAAGGAAAAAAGACCATCGACATCGGTAAGGAAGCTGCGATAGAGGCCGAAGTGAGAGCAGCGAGGGAGAGGGCGATAGTTCCATTGGAAACGAGGATCAAATCATTCAGAGATATGCTTGCGGAAAAAGATGTAAATTATTATATACTCTTCTATTATTTATACAGACTATAATGTTACTTTAATTTATTGCTTCCGAAATAGATTAAAGTTCATTTCACTGTTTTACTTACAATCTTCAAACCAATTCTTCAATCAATTTCTTATATATCTATATCGAAAACAACTGAATTTGTGTTTTCAGGTATCTGCATTCAGTACTTGGGAAAAGGAACTTCATAAAATAGTATTTGACCCACGCTATTTACTTCTAACGTCAAAGGAAAGGAAACAAGTCTTCGAGAAATACGTAAAGGAGAGAGCGGAAGAAGAAAGACGAGAAAAGAGGAATAAGATGAAAGAACGAAAAGAACAATTCCAGAAGCTTTTAGAAGAGGCAGGACTTCATGGAAAGTACGTATACAAAAAAAGCATTTTTTCCCCCATTTTTTATTTAATAATATTTCTACAGAAAGTATCCATTTCTATATTTATTTTTTCTATACTATATTTTTGTAGATCATCATTTAGCGATTTTGCTCAAAAACACGGAAGGGATGAACGGTTTAAGAATGTAGAAAAGATGCGCGAACGAGAAAGCCTTTTCAACGAATATCTTCTGGAAGTGCGAAAGAAGGAGAAAGAGGAAAAAACAGCGAAACGAGAACAGGTATTTTTATTTTATTAACATTATTCAACATGCGCGCGCATTGTGTGGCAATGCAACAGATTTTTTTCAGGACCATTTTAATACAAATAATTACAAATATTTTCAACACCGATACAAGTAAGACATACATTCTAGCACCATTTTTCCCATCCAATGATAAGACGTGTATATTTAATGAATAATGAAGGATTAAGATGCACTTAATAGGTCTGTTCTTTTTGACTGAACTTTTGCACCAGTTTATCTTTCTTCTTTTTTTCTCTTCTCCCGGAGAAAAGAAAGATAAACTGCTGCAAAAGTTCAGCCAAAAAGAACAGGCCTTATGTCTTTCAATATTGGTTATAAATAATTTGGAATACTCTCTAAAATAATAAAAATTATATAATATTTAATTTATCCAATATTTTATTATAAATTTTTATTTTTATTTGTTTATAAAATTGTTTGGAATTTATATTGTAAGTAATATTATAGATATATATATATATATATATTGATTTTCATATTATTTGTGAATTTAAAAACTGTAAAAATAATATTTCTTTTACTTGAATATACATATACATATTTAAAGTTATTTTATCAAATACTTAATATTTATGCAAACTTTTTTTTTTCTCTATGAGTGTACCTACAACAAGTTCTTTGTATCATAAGAAGAGCATCACGAACCACATTTCCTATATTTGTCCTTATCCAATAAACCTTTCTTCTTCCATTCCAGGTAGATGTCGTTCATTTATAGTGAATTACTTTATAAATGCTGCTCGAAGAATATTTAACGCAGCATATAAATATAATTATACACTACATCCGCGATAAGTTGCGCATGGGCTGAATACATGTTTATTCGGCACTTGCTCCTATGTTTATATAATTATATTATTTTATTAATTTTTCAATTGAAATTACTTCACCTTATTAAGCGAGGCTTTGCAATGCGCGATAGCATAAGAATCAAATTAAGAATAAATGCAAAGCGTTTTAATTCTATATATAGGAGATACATTTAGTAATGTTTAATGAAGTTTATGTTTTTACAGCGATAATTAATTAATTTCTTCCAGGTTTCATAGGTATGTTATTATTTTGTTCCACTTGTAAGATAGAGTATGAATTCCTAAAGTTATAACGGATGAAGAACACATATACCAGGAAATATTTCTCTAATAATAATTCTCTACTCCAGTAGATTTGCTCGATCGAAATCGAAAAGTTTTTGTAGCTCTAAGATGGGAGATGTAGAGAATAAAATCTTAGTATGTGACGCTTCCTTATATACTTATGTGTTCTGAACTCTCCACTTCAGTCAGGATGCAGGCAGGACAGGTTCCGTATGTGGAGTGGCGTGGTACTGAAGCTGGTTGGTGGCATGGATGATGTCATCTACCATTCCCACCTTCTCTGCGGGTCACTCTGGCACACCCTCGCGCGCCGCATTCTTTACTTCAAAGCAGAGTGTCATGAGAATGAGCAAACTCGGTATTTGTATATTACTCGTAATCCTCGTTACTTCAAAAGATTAACTTTCCCCAGAGTCAAATTTGAAAAAAATATAAAGATTTCACATTAATTCATTTGGAAGGAAAAAAGGGTATATGAAAGCCCTCGAGGTAGCATTAGTCCACAAAATAGTTTTTCAGAGAGATTATATATTCCGATTTAAGAAATATAAAGATACAATTTTCTCTAATGCTACCACAAAATTTACATTAGATGTATGGACATAAAAACAAATTCTCCAACGACATAAGGAACTATTTGTTTGATTTTTTATTTTATTTTTAAATAATAATTGCTTCTGCATATTTTAATATTGTTAAAAGTTTATTTTGTCTATATAGGTCATTAGGTAAAGTATTTTATATTCATAAATAGTAACGAATTATTATCTTGAAATAATATTTTTTCTATTGTTCTTATGTCAATACATGATACATCAAATTTGATGTACAAAAATATATAGTATTCTCAAGTAATTTTAAGTCGACTTTAAGATATAAACGATTCTTGTTGTCGGCAATAATATATGTATGTACAATTAACTTTATCGTGTGTGATACATTTTAGAGGATACAAAAAGAAATTATAGTATACAGAGTTGTAATGTGAAATTATTACAATTTTTACATAGAATGAATGATTAACATTTTCATAAATTTGTTTTATATTCGTCTGAAACTTTAATTGTTCTTGTTCTAATAATAATAATGCAAGTGGAATTACTTTCAGTTAGAATGAGATAAAAAAATAAATTTCAATTGTGTAAACTCAAACTTTTTAGTATCTTGAAAATCTTCATAGGATCCGAGTAATGAATGTTATGTAATTTGAAGACGAAAATGTGCCAGTGTCTGAGAGCTGTAATCATCTCTCGATTATTGTTTATAAGTAATATTACTTACATATTCTTTTTAATACAATAAAGAATATTGTACAAATCATTTCGGTCGTTTACAAATTACGCAATGGGAACATTGAAAAAAAAGCTATTTTATGGGATGATTCTTAATTTCACACACTTTGTGTAGATATCAGACAATTCAAAGATATTCGTGTATTGTATCTAATTTTGTTCGTTTAATGCTTTCAGTATTACGAACTAAAAGTATCGAGGCTTAGGAGAAAGAGGGATGTACTTTATTTTAATAACATATTTTAGTAAATATTATTTTAATAATCTATTTATTATGTTATTTTTATGAAAAAAAAAGTCATCAAGAAAATTGTCAATACAGAACAGTTGTGTTACAATGTTTGTAAACGATGCGATGTGCTATGAAATACGTGACGCTGTTGCTAAAATTGTGGGTTCTTCGAGAGGTATTTTAGAGTATAGCGAGTAGGAGAAAAAGAGAAATTAGATAGAGAAACTCGTTTCGTAATTTGGACGGCTGCGAGCTTCTAGTATTTTCGAAGTTAATGATAATGTATTAACCATTTTTTTCTTTTCAGCAAGGACGGCAGTTAAACGTTTTACTTACCTTATACTTTTAGTCATCATTAAATGGCAGTATATTGAGTGTATAAGACATCACTTAAAAATTAAAGTTTAAGTTAATTATGTATTGTTTAATATAATCGAATAGAAAATACTGTACATTTAATGATGACGATGATCATAATAATCATTTTTACAGGAATAATGAGTTAATAATTTTTTTCAGCTAAAAAATGACCAGCTTAGTTCATAAAAAAAAATTCGACAAATAGAGTCCTTAACGTTGTGATACCTCCTGATACGAACGAACACGAATGACTATTTCTTCTACCCCTAACGAAATATAGTTTGAAAACCATTTAAAAGGTTTGCAAGTTGAAATAGTTTGATCCACATTACAAATCATTATATATCATTATATTTATAAAAGTGATTGTAATGTGGCTGAGCGTGTAATAATTGGTTGAAAATATCATTAAAGCGTGCATGATATAAGAGAGCCAAGAAAGATTTGATCTTAAAAGCAAAAGAATTGTTTAATAGTAAGCAAGCAGTAATTATTTTTCAGCAATGAAAACTCTTATGTTAAATGCGTTTCAGGTAAAAAAGGAATTCTTTACGATGCTACGTGAGCACAAAGACATCGACAGGCATTCGCATTGGAGCGATTGCAAGAAAAAGTTGGAAACGGATTGGAGATACAGAGTCGTAGAGTCAGCAAGCACGCGGGAAGATTGGTTTAGAGATTACGTTCGTCTGCTGAAGGATGAGCGGAAAAAGGAAAAGGAGAAAGACAAAGACCATCGGCACAGAGAGAAAGATCACAAGACGGACAAGAAGGACAGAGATCGTAAGGATTCGGATAAAGGTAAAGAAACAAAGTCCGGCAAGGACAAAGCTGATAAAGACAGTACAAGGGAGAAAAAACAACGAAAAAACGACGCATCCCTAGAGGAAAGCGAAAGAGAGAAAAAAGAGATGCTGGTAGAAAAAGAGAGCAGAGAAGTTGAAGAAGGTGAAGACAAAAGCGTTAAAAAGGAAAATGATGTAAGTATAAATAAACGATTTCTGTCCGTCAGTTTCGTACTTTTTTGTGTACATTTTTTGCTTTATGTTGTTTTGTCTTTTAGAAGGAAGAGGGAGATGACCATTCCGATTCGGAGGAGGATCGTGAGAAACAGAAAAGGGAACGTGAAAGACGAGCGGAAGTTAGTCTTAGAGAGAGAGAGAGAGAAGTGCAAAGGACTCTAGCTACACATCTTCGCGATAGGGATAAGGAAAGACAACATCATCGCCACACAGAGGCGGTTCAACATTTCAGCGCTCTTCTTGCTGATTTGGTATGTATACATATAGTTTCAGTCACAAAAGGTTGTACGAGAATTATATTGATATCTCTGATTATAATATCTTGAATTTGTCTCAATTTTAGGTAAGAAATGGTGATCTGGCATGGAGAGAAGCGAAACGACAATTGAGAAAGGACCATAGATGGGAGTTGGCGGAAAGCTTGGATCGCGAGGAGAAAGAACGATTGTTTAATGAACACATTGAACAATTGGGCCGCAAAAAACGCGATAAATTTCGAGAATTACTCGACGAAGTAGGCGCATCGACTGAATTAACGGCATCTTGGAAAGATATTAAAAAATCATTGAAAGATGATCCTAGATACTTGAAGTTTTCTTCTAGTGATCGAGTATGTAATTGTTAATTTAAAATTAAATAAGTAAGAGTAAAAAAATTTTTAAGTTTTTTATTCTATACATATTTTTTTGTTTCAGAAATGCGAGAAAGAGTTTAAGGAATATATTAAGGACAAGCTTGTCGCTGCCAAAGCTGATTTCAGAGAGCTTCTGCAAGTGCGTTTAATTACTATAACTCACAATATATCTTTTAAAATTTCAATGTGACTGTTAGTAAAAAAAAATTGCGATTTTCAGGAAACAAAACTGATCACTGACAAAACGTACAAAAGAGTTCAAGAGAATAGCTCACATCTAGCAGAGATTGAAGAAATTCTTCGAAAGGATCGTCGATTTCTTGTGCTTGAGGCTACAGCCGCTGAACGGACTCGATTATTAATGGGCTATCTGGAAGAATTAGCACGTAGAGGCCCTCCACCACCTCCTACTGCTTCAGAACCATCGAGAAGATCAACTACTAAGTAAATTTAATACACATAACAAAGATAACAAAACTTTATGTTTCGTTTTCTTAAACAAAATTCGAAACATTCTGTACTAAACGTCTATTTATGTTTCAGTTGAAGAATGATCTACATCGAAATATGATACCCCTATGACACATAACAGTAACAGAAATGAATGAATTTATAGCTGTAGTTAAATTGAATTACTTTACACACGAATTTATCGCCTGTATAGGATTCAATAAAATTTAATGAATGCCAATTCTATAAAATTGAGATTGTATTGCATTGTGAGATATGTAGCACAAACATATATATTATTGTTGATTAATATTAAATGAAATCCTTCACAGAACGTCGGTAAACCTGTGTAACATAATTAATTTACAATGCAATAATTGTATTCTATATTTCATGTGTGCGTGTGTGTGATATACATACATATGTACACACATACCACATACACACATATAGTATGTATGTATATTTTAGTAACTACTAAAACTGCTTTCAATGTCCTTCAATTTACAATCTAACTTAATATTTTAATGTTACATCGGCTAAATAAATTTTTTTTATATAAAGACAAATATAAAGATAAAACAGTTTCAGAAAAATAAATCAAATTGGTAACAAATTCATAAAAAATGAAGATTAATAAATCTTTTTTTTTTTTTTGTTGTTGGCACGATCAGTCTTTTAATAAAGATGTTATTTTAATTTAGATTGAACGTTTTTTGTTTCAATAACTTTTTACCAAATATATATTTTAGTATATTATTTTTGCAGGAATTAACTTGATCATAAGATAGTAAATTTCGTTGTTAGTTCCTATGATATGCCTTAGATGGCGATTCTAACATAGGTCAGCTCTGAGGGGGACCTTACATCCCCCTCAGCAATGAAAATATACCTTTAAATTTGCGCTAATGATATTTTCTTTGTATGTATTTCCTGCAATCCTGCCTGATAGGCTCGCTCCTAATAGCTGTACCCTCTTTTATATTTGTCAAAAAAAAAAAAAAAAGCTTAGGTTCGTCACGTGAAATGTATGCCTGACGATCAAGATGAAAATTTCGGTGATTTTAATGCTTGAATATTAGAGATTTCAATATCGAAGAAAGTTCATTGCTGAATATGGGATGATAATTTCTCGATAAACGTTACACTAATTGATATTTCGAAGCATCATTAAACGATAGAAAATAATTGTAAAGAATATAAATCGCTAATTAAAAATGAGAATAGTATTAATAGAAAGTTAAATTTATTTTTTTTTTCAGTAACGTGTAACAATGTATACATTTCGAATGTAGCATCTTAAAAAATTCCAAGTAATATTAAGCAGAAAACGGCAAATTACTGTATTTTATATAAATATTTAAATAAATATATATATTGAATGATGATATCAGAGTCGACTCGTGAGATTTAAAAATCATAGGAAGTGAAAATGCCTAGTCGAGTCTTGTAACAAGATGTTGGTGTTAATTATAATTGTGTGAATTTATGTACCGCGTATGTAGTTCTACTCACGACGCTGATGGATTTTCAGCATTGACGCATACGTATTAACTACCGCGGTAATATCACTTTAGTTAAATTGACAATACAATCTAACAAATTTTGATGCCTATAGCATCTTATTGGATCTTAATAATAATATGTTGAAAGACATATATTAAATTTTTGATGATGTAACGTTGAATTAAAGATAAATTTAAATCTAAATCTGTGAAAATTACTATAGTCAAGAATATCACAAGTTTCGTCCCGGTTTCCACTACTGGACTCATCAGTAAGGTATGGAAACCTACCTTAGACGCCTTGGGGAGATGTTAGAAAGAAGTTCTATATAAACATTCACTCATATAATTCGGCACTTGCGAGAATTGGAATGAGTAACTATAGACCTCTATTGGCTAGTCGACGAAGTGATATTCTTCACACTATTGTTAATATGTAATAATAGCGCATTTTTCAGGCCGCGCGATATGAATATATATATTGAATGATGATATCATGGCATCAAAATTTGTTAGATTGTATTGTCAATTTAACTAAAGTGATATTACCACGGTAGTTAATACGTATGCGTCAATGCTGAAAATCCATCAGCGTCGTGAGTAGAACTACATACGCGGTACATAAATTCACACAATTATAATTAACACCAACATCTTGTTACAAGACTCGACTAGGCATTTTCCTAGCACTTCCTATGATTTTTAAATAAATATTTCCTTTACATTAGGAGCAAGAAATTTGTTTAAAATCGACCTTCAGAACAGTTAATTTCAAGATAATAGGGAGTTTTTACAATACCGTTTATCCCTGATACAGTGAACGCTAAAGTCATACGTTATCTTTTTCTTCACACCTAATTAAGAAAAAGATAACGTGACTTTAGCGTTCACCGTGTATCTATATTTATGTGATATCGCGTCTCAATTATGTATACGTCAGATTCGATCGCACATTTACACGCTTTTTTCTAATGCCTACATACGATTTTATAGTTGTAAGAATTTTCTTACGAGTTCCCGATAATGTTTATTAGGACAGTTATCGGTAGGTATCGTTGCCTCTCTTTCTCTCTCTCCAATAAATACCAGCAAATATACATTACATTATCCCTCGCGTTATACCGTTACAATACACAACGACGCGTTGCACTTCCTGCTATCGCGGTAAGCATATAAATTGGTAAACTAAACCGGTGAAGTCCTACGTAGCCCGAGCGTTATATCATTAAGAACGCGCGCACAAAACAATTGAGAGCAGAGTCTCACTTTGGGATTCTCACGGAATCCTTACGAAATTTTAACATCCAGTCTACATGGTTGGCGCAGCATACTCGTGGAAAGCAAATCTCTTGTACATCAAATATTCGGGATATCGCGAGAGAAAAGATCTTTTTTAAAAAAATAATTATTTCTTTTATTTTTAAGGAATGCTCATTATTTTTATGTGTAAGCATTGTAGATATTTGTCGACGTCTGAAATCTTTTCTCTTGATAAAAAAACGTTTTTATTATTTTTCAATATTTTTATGAGAGTATATAAGCCGTGATTACAGCCGGCGAATCTCACGATTTGATAAAATGGAATATAATTAGGGAAATTATATAATACAATATAATTAGAGGAGAATTATACAAGAGAAAGTTCCTAATTATATCAGGAAAACAAAATCTTGCGCAAATGATCTTCCACGATAACAGTGGAAATGGATTTCAGATTTAATCACATCAAGTGCGTATACATTGTTATCGGGAAGATACCGGAGTGATCATCATCATCGATTGAATTACATCACGCGATGCCACCGACTTTCTCCCGGGTCTCCCGACCTTGCTGTGCCTCTTTGCTTTCGTGTCTGTCCGGATGTGAATCAATCCGTACGTTCCCAGTAAAGGTCAGGCACGACCAGTGAGGGTTAACGAACGGTGGGGGGGTAACAGGATGGACTTGAGAGAGTAGATTTTTGCAAAGGCTTGCTCGTCGGAGGTCGAGGAAGTGCCGTGGGAGACCCTGAAATCCGAATCATATTTCTCATCGTTCAATAATGCGATCGATTAGATAGATATATTATTATAGCAGAGTTTCCTCCATTATTAGATATGTACGATATACCTAGATGTTATACGCAGTATCTGCGTCTTTAGACCTTTAGAACTTTTTTCGCACATTGGAATCTTTTTCTTTTTTGGAAATGTCGCTTTGTTACAGAAGCGAGATTTAAAGTAAAAACGTACGACCTGTCGTACGAATAACATTTTCGGGACTAATAACTTGTAAGAAAGTATGAATTATTTTCACTATAGAATTTCAGAGTTCACTCAGCTGTTCATTCAAGTACGATCTCTCAGCGCGTCTGCCTTCATGGCGGTCGTCGATCCTGAGATCCGATTTGGGAATTACTTGCTTCTACAATTGAAAAATCAAGGTGAACGGTTGGTGCTAACAAGGCGATCTTATTCATACCACTTGGCGCGGATATCTCTGTATGTACGATCGAGCGTGCACTGTGCCGATGAGTATTTTTATACGAGATTTGGAGAATCGAAAAGATAGATAACAAAATCTATCTCTGTATAAAGCGAACACCTTCAATTATTGATTATAAAATTAATTTATTAATTATAAAATTAATTAGTGAAATAAAAAATTTATTTGAGAATTTGTGTGTGAAATGCGGAGACTAAATCTATTCTATATTAAAATATGTTGGACTTTCTTCTAAACGTAAACATCTTGCGTTTAAATAATGAAACATCTCTTTGTGATATTCTTAAGATGTTTCATGAATCATTATATTGTGAGAAATGATAGGTGCGCTTACCATTCAGTCGATTTCTCATACCTACACTGTACTTTCCTTTTAATTTATGTCATTACGACAATTTAATTATGTGCTTTAGTGAAATGAAATGAGGAGAGAAGAGAAAAATAAAGACGAAAAAAATGTCAAGTTTCTTTATACAGTATTAAATTTTTAAAGGGCCAACAGCTGGTCTAGCTTCGATTTGTATTAGGCCTATAAAGCTTAGCCTAGCTGGATCTCAGATGCTTATATATAATAATTTCGCGTGAATTTATATGAATTGATACATGTAGTAGTCTTTTTAAACTGCGCGCCGAATAATCGTCGGTCTTGAATTTCTTCTTGAACTTTCTTTATACATATAAAAGATAAAAACAATCCTTTTGTGATAGCAGAACAAAAACTAACTTAGAAGTGATAAAAGTAAAATTAGAAATTGATTTAAATATACATTTATGACACTAAATAATTAATATTAAAACATACAAAACAATATTCTGAGAATCACAGCTTACATCAGTTGTCGGCTTAACTGTAGCCTCGGCACACGTAGCATATATGTATATTGCTAAAAGTCATGCAAGCAAATGGAAAGGCGTTCGATGCGGACTAAGAGAACTCGCGTTTTCTTGTACGCAAGAATTGAGATCCCGGCCGCGCGAGAGGCGCTAAAGACGTGATCAGCAGGTGGACCGCAGCCGGATTTTGTCATATCCGCCCCGTCTTTGCTTATCTCGGTTCTAGCTGTCGATTCTGCAGTCCTCGATTATTTGCCGATCAGATCCGTCGATTTTGCCGAAGAGGCAGCAGCGGAGGCGGAGGAGGGATCGCCACGCAGCTGGTTGGAAGGGACGGTGGATCCTGGCGGCCTCGACGTGCCAGCTCCGCCGAGCTCCGCCGAGCTCCGCCTCGACCAAGTGAAAGTCTGATTTTGCTTTCTACCAGCAGCTCTACCCGCGTTCGCTTGCTTGGTCGCGCGCGTCAGTGACAAGCGCGTCGCGCTCGCGAACGAATGCGCCGTTCCTTGGCTTTTGACGGCGATGATTCTTCCCGCGTGCGGCTAACGGCACTCTGACAGTTCTCACGTCCGCGAATGGGGACCGGTCGGACGTGACCCTCGATCGCGCGATGAGCTGCGAGTGACCCGTGCTGGGGGGGTCACATCCGCCGTGTGCGAATACTCATCGGGGTTTACGAGAGAGAGAGAGAGAGAGAGAGAGAGAGAGAGAGACATGCCGAGCTGCCGACAAGGAGTGACTTGGTCGCGTGGCCAGGTCTTTCTCCTGCTGCTGATTTGCGCGCTCGTCGCCATCGCTCACCAAGAGGGTAAGTTCTCACGAGGGAGATAGAATTTCTGCGACCGTGCCAAGCTTAATTTCAAGCACCCGCGTTCGCTTGTCAGAGTGCGCTCTGTGGGATTACAACACGCTTGCGAACCTTTCATGGATATACACGCTTCTTGAGGAGAACGTGAAGGATATTTATCTGGGGTGGGCTGTCACCGAGTGACAGGCGACTGGGACCTTTGCACGCGAGATCTGAATGTTCGCCTATCACACGGTTCCCCTTGTTGAAATGCACTGAATTGAGAATTTTTCTACGAATACGTGCGTGATAACTGTTAGGAAAGATTGGCATGCGTGAATTTTTCTTGCCACAGTCGGAATTAAACCAGGAACCAGAGCGCTTATTTCCAAACATTAACATATTTTTCAATCTCCTACTTAACGCGGATTTGGCATGGCTCCTCCAATTCTTTTGCTCGTTATATGTGGAACGGTTTTACATAAGTATCTATAAATTTATCTAAGAGACACAGATATGAAAATAATATTGTTTGTATTATCAAAACAATTATGTAAGACGCACTTAAACTGATCGTTAGAACTTTTTACAGCATTGCCGTCAATATTGAAGTATTGTAAAATGCTATATAATTATTTTGATGATTCAACAAATGTATTTTCAGATTTGCATCTATCTAAATTTTTAGATATTTCAGCACACAAAACCGTTTTTTTTTTTTCCGTGTATAGAATAAATTCGTGAGCTTATATTTTAGCCGCGGATTTATGGATTCGTTAATGCGATGGATCTCCAAAGCTCGCGCAAATGTGTTTTTTATGCGTTAACGCATAAGCTTAGAATGTTTGTATAAATTCGTATGTCTATGTTGATTCAAACCGAACTTATTAAATCAGAATTAAGGAACCGGTATCTCAAAATCCGCCTTACAGCTGATGCTACGCATTATTCATACTTATTGTCCTACTTTTACCTCATTATATTTAAATGACAGATGGTTGGGATGGTTTCTTCTTCGATCCTTCTTCGGCGTGGATATATCGAGAAAAGTCGTCGTTCACTACAGATTTTCTCAAGAAAAAATGTTCAACCGATCAAAACTAGACTACTAACTATCTTTATCTATAATAATAGAACTTCCGATTCTCTAAAATTTAGAATCTCCAACGATTAATTGCTTGAACATTATTAAGTTTAAATTTCGCTATCTCAATGAAAAAAAATTAATTCTACCGTCGAGAAATAACGCGATAGAATCTACCTGCAAACACCTTTGCATCTCTTACAAAATATACGATGCCAGGAATCTTACAACGAATTCGATAATGTAAGTCATTATGCTATTATAGATTAGTGTATATTAAAAGCGACTATACATACAATTAGCAAAGTCAAAAGCATAATAAATATTTTAAATGCCCAAAGAATACATTATCACACTATTAGGGTATGTTATGTCAAAGTTGATTATATTATATGTCATTGCGTTTAGATACTTTATATACAAAAGCGATCTTCAATGCCGCAAAACGAAACGTTGGTCGGCGCGAGTCGACCGCGATGTTTGCCCGCACTACGTAATTCCGAGGTAGCGCGATACAATAGAATTGCGATACGGTTGCCAAGTGGCGATATAGCGGGTTTCTCCTCGGCCTTATGTCGAGTCGACGGACTCCGCCCTTGTCGAGAACAGATTCGCTCTCCTCGCGATTTGTAATAAACCGAGCGCGGGCGCAGCCATTCTTCGCAACCTTGCGTCTTTGTTCGTCGCATTGTTACGCTTATCGTCGGACGCACGCGAACACGACGGATTGGCAAATGATTGTCGAACAATCGCGCCGTGTTACGCACGGGCGTGCGAGCGAAACGCGCGTCATTACTCGCATTCTGAGGTGAACGTGTGCTGTTAGACGCTGTGAGACATTAAGGTCTCGCGCACAATTTGCACAATTTGCACATTTCCGCAGTTATGCGGATTATCTCCAAGTATTGCATTGTCTCTCGGCAATTGGCTGAATCTGAAATTGATTAGAATTATTTCGCAGAAATTATCTGTCGCTGGATATGTCGTAACTTAACTCAATGTTGGACGTCTGCAGATTATTTTTCACGAAGAAAAACAATTTTTTTTTAGAAGCATCGACACAATACATTCACTTGCAATCTTCACGACAATCTTGCTCGAGACATAAATCTCTAAGCTGTAAAAATCGATAATTTAAGTAATTAATGTAACATTAAAAAGCATGACGAAGATGCATTGTTTTAATCTACCCGATCGATATAATAATATCTGATATTTTTTTTACGTGTTAAAAAAAAGCAGAAAAATCTTATTACTAAATAATTATCTCAAAGTTAAAAATCGCAATTTTTTTCAAATAAAGCCAGCGATATAACTACGATGAGGCATCATCAAACGTGAAAGTTCCTCGCACGTGACTTTAATGAAATTTCGCGTGGCATGCGAAAGCTTCCTCGGAAAGGTCGAAGAAACTTAATTTTGCCCGCTCGAAAGGTACACTCGAAGATTTCCGATGCAGTAGAAAGTGAAACGACCGGTGGATCCTCCTAATTTGTTATTCACGATCCCAAAATAGTTCCTACGTCACGCGGACGGAGTGTCGTCCGGCCAAGTTCCTTCTCTCTCTATTCCTTCTTATCCTTCCCTTTTTCTTCATCTTTGTTCATCTTGAGCGCGTTTCGAGTGGCACCAAAGGTCGCAGGAATTTCGACGCAGTGTTAAGGGCCGACGAACGACCTTCCACATTTAGATTGTCCTAATGGGATACAGCAGGATAGATGGACACGCTGAGAAGAAAATTCGCGTATAATTTGAGCTGGATGGAATCATGATGTAAAAATACGTGTTTATTATTATTAGTACATGACGGTCGAATATAAATAATTTGGGGGTAATTGGTGCACTAAAATAATACACTAGGCAACAAAATTAACGCAACACCTGTTTTCACTGTACAAAAATAGGCAAACTTCAAGATAGAATAACTTCGTCAAAAATCATCGTATCGAGATGTTAAAAAAACATTTTACACTTTGAAACCTCTACTTTTCAGATCGCTACTTGAAAAAGTGGTCTCACGGAGATTTTACCCAAACATAAATGAAGATATATCAGATTTTTTACGAAATTTGCGGAGTTCCACGGGACGGACTAAAAATTGTACGGAAATGCGATTTACATTAATCGAAAGAGCGAACCTTTACCTTTAATTTGTTTTTTTACAAAGCTTTTTTACGATTTTTTTTCACCGAGTTATTCAACGTTGAAGCAAAAACGACTCTTTCGCTGCAATGTGGTAATTTTCTATACTAATAATAGCGGCTATATAACATTTGGTGTTTAATTTCTAATTAGTCATCGCTCATTATGCTCATCTCGAAGCGAAACACCTTGTATTCTTACATCATAGATGGAATGTATTACATAAAAATACTAAACACGACTGAAAGATCTTCTCTTCGCTTCGCGAGGCGAGCAGTGTCGATAGTCCTCACGCACCTTGGAATGCCAAATACGTACGTAGATCTGGAGTATAAATTGCAGGAATTGTGCATTGTAAGGGACAAACGTGATAAAAATCTTGGTTGCACGTAAAACGACGATAAATAAATACATCGATAAAGTATAGGCTTGATTGAATCGCGATAAGATAAAATAAAACGTGTTCCAATATGGCGTTAAAGAAAACTTTTGAAGGATAGATATTATATATAAAAATATAATTATATTTTTTATTTATGTAAATTGTGAAATACAAAAATATATTAATCTTTTGCAAGAAAATTATTATTATAAATAAAAAGAAAAGATGAATATTAAGTAAATTTGTGCGTACATTCGCAAAGTAGTTGAACAGATGAGCTGTATCGGATGTTGATTAATAGATGACCCACTTCGAAGGTGGTGATATAATACCTCCGTGCTTTCCGTTTTCATGCCTCGTCGTAATGTGCACCGGTGGCGCGGCGCGCTTTTCTTTCATTTTCACCATTCCTCGTGCATGCGACACGGAACGGCAATCAAGGAATTCAGAACACTACATCGATGTGACGTGAGACATTAAATGCGTAAACAGGCGCACGGAGGCGCTCGTTATGTGACCTTCCTCTCGCGTTTCATTTCCCGACGATTTCATTTCCCGCCTTTTCTCAATTAGATCTAATTCATGACGCCCTTCGGATGATCCTCCACGGACGGTAGTCATCAGAGACGCCTCGCAACATCGCGAGCGAGAAATCGGGAGATTGGGAAAGTCTGACACGTCGTTCGGAGGCCAAGAATGTAGGTATTAGCCTGCTCCTCGAAGGAAATACCGATTGCCCAACGAAAATTCGCGGTACAAAGCCAGAGTTCTCTACATTCGCAACAAGATGCAATCGTTCATCTTTTCGCGATATATAAGAACCCAATATAAAATCAGATAGTCTATGAAGATTTTAAAAGATTAACATGCCTAAATATTTCTTCTTATCTATTATATAATATTTCTCGTAATATACTGTAATATTTTTGATTTGTAAAATTGTAACCGAGGCGTATCGTAAAATATTTTTTTTTACCGCGGCGAGGTTATAATCAACTCATTTCGTTAAATCTTATGATATTTAACTAACTCAGATGATATAGGAATTTACTTATAAATTTGCCTCCGGCTACTTCGGTCACACCTTAGAAGCAACGACTGAAATTGTTGACCTTTTAAGTATTCTTAGGATTAAATTTATAATGTAAAGAAATAAAATTGTTTACACAATGGCTGCTTAAAATCACGTGATTATGGAAATCTTCTTATCGACAAAAATAAGCTATGATTTTGGATTACGTAAGCTCGATTGTTTTCTTATTTAATTTCAGTATATGGTTTTGTATCTCATTATAAGATAGATATTTATCACATTAAAATTGTACGTTAGGATATAATTTGGAAAATTCTTTTTACGGAAAGAAAACTTGCAAACTCTTGAGAAAGTGTAATAACATATGTGTAGCGAATTTC